CACACCAAAATTAAGCAAACACTTCACCTTCCTAGTGGGATGAAATCTTTAACACCCTGGAGGCCTTCCAATCCTTCCTATTTTCTTTCCCTCCAATTTATGGGTTTGGTTAAAATAATATGAAACTAGTTTGGCTACTTTAATGTTTCCTTAAAAGCACATGTGGTGGACACTCCCTAGGGTGGTCCCAAATGAGTCATTCCCTTGCACAATTCCCTCTTTTCGAGTATAAGATCTAAGCAAGAGCACATGGCAAAATGAAGAGGTTTTGAAGATGCATTAGGTCCCTAAGCAATTGACTTTGAGTTCATTTAGGGTGGGCCTGACCATATCAGGGAGACCTCTAAGAGGACCCAGGCTATCTCTGAAGTTATAGGCTTAAGTCATTAGGCAGCAATAGGTAGCTGTTTTTACAGGTATACCTATTTTTTATGAGACATTTCTTCACCATTCAATTACCATTCTCAATAACATTACTATCATCTAGTTAGGTTGATCTCTGCATTTAAAGAAATCTGCCCATGGGGACCAGCAAGTGGCATGGTGGTTAAGGCACTGGACACTCCCACATGACTGACCACAGTTCGAGTCCTGGACCTGATGGCTCGCTCTCGCTCTCTCTCTCTATCTCTCTCTCTCTCTCGTCAAATTAAAATACATGAATGACTAAATGAAATTAAATAAATAATTTTTTTTGGAGAGATTTTCACTGTAGGGCACGTGCACTCGCCAGACAGACAGAGAGAGACATAGAGACAGAAAGCAAGAAATCACCCCCTAGGCGGGATGGTCACGCCGCAATCCCTTCTCCTCCATTCTCCTCTCGGGATCTTGGGCACGCACGCACACACGCCCGGCGTGAGTTTTAAGCCACCGGGTCCGGGACACGAACCGCGGTCGACTACGTGGGAGTCCAGCGACATAGCCATTACGCTAACTGCTGGTTCCCCAATATTTTTTGTTTAAAAAAAAAGAAATCTGCCCAAAATTCTTCCTCCTGTTCTCCATC